CAGGAATGATCAAATATATGACACAGCTTCTGCAGAAGGAACAGCTAAGTCGATTAGGGACTTATCTTAGGGACCTCTATCTGACCCAGGAGGGCTGTAATGATGTTATGGCCTTGCTCAAAAGAAGAGATCCTAATATCAGAATATTTACATTTTTAACTCATATCTAGAATAACATAATATGTCTTTCACAGCATGGACTGCACTTCTGTGGAAGGACTTACTATTCCTCCCTGTCTGCATATACTGTTATAAATCCCAGCATAGAGTCAGGTCACGGAAAGACATATTTCAGCCTTGCAGTTTGCATAGCCCATGCTCAGCTCTGACTGAACCCACAGTGGCGCGGTGATAGCAAAACATGCTCCTGTTCCCTTGACATTGGGATTTGGAAGTCCATATTGGCTAGGCTTACAGTGAAGTTGATCTATCACTTGCAGCTTGTTCAGAATGGAAGAAATCAATTGCTTATTGATTTGTGTTATCGTGATCACAGCTCACCCAGCTGCCCAGTATTCTCCCTGGACGCTGTTCTACTCCATGGTAGACTCGGTTTAAATTAGCCTGGTTGATTCATGGGGCTCTGAATAAGACTGAAACAGGGTATATTTGAAAGCTTGTTTTAGATCCGCATCTTAGAGACCTTTGTACTCACTTATCAACCACCATTCAATGGCCCTGACCTCACCCCTAGATTCACCAGGTGGAGCTTTGGTTGTAGCGGCACGGGAACTTGTATCCCCTGGTATTCCTCAGAAATGCACCTCACTGACAGAATATCTAAACACCTATTTTTGGAAGGTACTTTTAAATTAATACCATGCTTCTAATTGTTCCTTTCAGTGGATTTTTTTTTTTTTTTAAGCTTTCATTTATTTTGGTAATTTTGAGTCTTTTTTTTGTGTACTTCTGTTGAGACTAGAGTGTGTTTAGTAAGCATAAAATGGTGTTAGGATTGTTGTTTCTGATCTGAGTGCTTCAGCAGAGGCTGGAGAATTTACTTTACAAACACAGTTATTGCCACGGAGACCATCACCTCTCACCAGCCTTTCTCCATCTGTAATCATGTTATGCTTCTGTGCAAATACCGCAATTGTCTACACAGAAGAGTAATTTTATGAGAGCATTTAATGCATTTTTAGCCTCTTTTAATGTAATTTTAGCTGCAGGAAGCACAGAGAAGAAGCCAGCATCATATAAACAGCCAGTTTTCCATACATCACCAGCAAGCCATGGGAAATGGCAGCAGATGATGGGCTCATTCCAGTGAATAACTTGAAGAAAAATCATAGGTACCTCTTGAAATGCCTACAGAATGACATTTAGTACTTTTTTTGTTGTTATTAAAATACTTATTAACTCAATTTCTTCAATATATCTTCTACTTTTAACATTTTCTCTTTGCATGACTGCCACAAATTTTCTATTCCTAAGCTTTTTTTTTTTAAATTTTGAAATTGTAAAAATATTTGTCAGGCAAAATACTGCAAGTGGCAGCACTGCAATGAAGCAACAAAAAGCAATCACCTAGAGGTGTGGTTTGCAGGAGATAATTACAAACCCCTGCAAGGCTATGAGGTACAGATGAGTGCTTCTGGTATGGTGATTATCTCATGGAGGTGCCTTATTGTTATTATGAATTTCTTTCAGCCCTATGTATAAATAATTTATGTTAGTAAATTACTTTGATCTCTGATGGAAACTGTAAGTTAGTGTTAGAAATTTCCAACTGGGAGGTTCATAGACATTAACCTATCCATGTATAATGCCTAAACACCAATCAAAAGACTCTCTCCATCTAAGCAACTTCATAACTTCATTACATTTAAAGAGGATGCAATGGAGCAGAACGTAAATGACATAGTGCTGCTAACACTTCTTCAGCTTAGAAAAGGCTATTTGAAGTCCTGTTGAGAACCTGGACTTTTTAGAGGTGACTAAGTGGCTCCTGCTTGTCTCATGTTTCTTCTTGTATTTGTCAGTAAGTCATTTTTGCCTTGACAGTACACTCTCCTAATGAGCTACAGAGAAAAATGCTATTTATGCAGATTACTCTCATTTGCACTGCAGAATCTCTAACAGCAGTATCTGTCTTCTTAATATAAACATTCTGCACATTTTTGTGGAAGATATTATGAGAAAGTTGATGCTTGCAGCTCTCTTGGTAAAACAATACCAAAATAATGAGCCACAGCACCATATGCTTTTTCCTAATTGGATCTAAGACTCCAAAATAGTCATCAGAGGAAGGATATAAACACAGTGAGGTGGGTTTCCAACTTCAATACCAGGTTTTGATTGTGGATATTTGCATAAACCTGAGAGAAACACAGTAGGATGTGGTTTATTGGCGAAGAGTCAAAATACAATCTTCCACCAATCAATACTTACAATGGAAGCTCATAATGTTCACTGTATAGTTTTCACACCAACCAAAATGTTTTAAAACTCTGCAGAGAAAACAGGGACAGCATAAAGGTGGGCTGTAAGTGAAATTAGAGTCTTTTAAATTCAGGAAACCCAGGTAAACTGTAATGACAGAATCTCTAATCCCAATTCCCACATCTACGGGCTTCAGACAGTTTGGAGGCCATCGTATTCTGTCTATGCATGGAGATCTCAAATCCAACAGATTCCTTTTCTCAGCATGTAAACCATGAATACACAAAGCCACAAAGCTGTCGCAATAATACTAGTAACAGAATGACATGGATGCAGAAATGGATGACATGAACTGGCCACAACTTCAGTTAAGCCACCATAGCAAGTGGGCAGAATTAGTAACCTATACACATGGCTGTGATCTACAGCTGGGAAAATACTGCTCCTCCACACCCCTAGGACAAGTAGGGATCATACTGAGAAAAGGAAATACTGGTTTGTTTGG